AATGATGAAGATATCAATATATTAATAATAATAATTATAATGTAACTTGTTCCTTATTTATTATAATGTAGTAATAATAATATTGATACTATAACTATATGATGGTACTAATAGTAGTGATAATTTTTTGGAACTTTAATATGTTAATTATGTATTTATTTATGTCAATATACTAATTTATTTTAATGAATTACTATTAATGTCTATTGTAATACTATAATAATAAAGATATCAATATATTAATAATAATAATTATAATGTAAATTGTTTCTTATTAATTATAATGTAGTAATAATAATATTGATACTATAACTGTATGATGGTACTAATAGTAGTGATAATTTTTGGAACTTTAATATGTTAATTATGTATTTATTTATGTCAATATACAAATTTATAATAATAATATTTACTTGGTGATATTTTGTTAATAGTTTGTTAATAAGTTTCAATTCAATTCGAATTCAAATTCAAACCGACCGGGCGGCACTTATGATTCAATTCAAACCAAACGTGCCGAGCGGCCGAATAGTTAATTAGGACCGTTAGATTAATAAGATTGTTTTAAGACTTTTATTTTTATTTAAACTATATGTTTTGGTCGTAAGACCCCCCAACGTATCCCTGGTGGGTCAATAAAACCTGTCACACACCCTTATCTTAACCTATCACTGGGGCAATAACCACTCAGTGTATGTATAATTAAATAATTAAAATAATTACTAAGGGGCAATAACCCCCTTAGTGTCCCTATTGCTAATTAATTCTAATTATAATGCTAAGTCTACAGGTTATCCCCCGATTTAATATTAGGAAATTTAGGAAAATTAACAAAATTTTTACGTAATTTTAATTTTTACAAACTAATTTTAACACTAAAAATAAAATTTAATTATCAGAATTATTGTGCGTTTTTTGCTCTACAATACTATAAAAACTAAATTATTCTAGATTTTTTGGAAGTATTTTTAAAATACGATTTAAATATTTGAAAATTCTTTAAAAATTTATTACTCCAAAATTACTCGATAAAAAATTTTGATTTTTATTACAGTATTAGATTTCGATATAAACTTTAATTTAAGTAAGAAAAAACTATATGTTACAGATCGTTTTACTTTTTTATTAATTTTTGAA